TCCGTTCTGTCACTTTGTGAGAACCTAAAACTAACGAACCTGTGAAGTCTTTGGTAGTAAGTAGGAAGGAGATGTTTATAAAAATCCAAAAAAGGTGTACAAAACGATATTTAAATTACGGCAATGGCTTTTAAGTTAATATAGGCTTGTCTTACGAGGACATAAGGACATGGGAAAGAGGATTGCAAATTGTCCTCTTTTTCTCCTGTCTAGTTTCATATTCTGCTCAGTTGTTATCGCTATATAATTTGTGTTGTGTCAGATGGAAAAGTTGTTGACATCGACTTGGAAGTTTTTCTGTTGTGGTCATGTGACCAAGTGATATCTGTGGTGTGTTTGCAGGAAAGCACAGAAAACATCCTGGTGGTCGTGGTAATGCTGGAGGACAGCATCATCACAGGATCAACTTTGATAAATAGTGAGTTACAGATATATATATATATGTATATGATTTCTCACTTATACTAGCACTGTGACATTTGGAAAAAAATTGTAACTGCTGTCTGCAGCTACAGTTAAACCCCACTATAGTGTGAGATGTCAGAAGTTCAAGGTAGCCGATAGTAAGTGACTGAAATAGCATATCCAAGGGAAAATGATTTGGTTTTGAGGTCACAGGGAGTTTGGAGATTATTGAGTTCAAGATAGTGATGGTTCTACTGTAGGCATAGACTTGTCATGGGATAGCATGATATGGTTGAAGAATAACAAACACATCGTTGACTTTAATACAAACTCTCAAAGTGCAATGTTGCTTCAGATGAACTTTCAAACCTGGAGTACTTGTATGTTAAATGTTTTTTTCTCCTTTGTAGTTGTTAGATTAGCTCTTGCTATTCGTGGCTCAAATAACATGTAATTTTACAATGAAAGAAAATAAAGATTATTATTGTTGTTGTTTGTTGTAAGTGGGTAAATATCATGGCATCTAGCCACAAGTAGTCAGAACACTCTAACTTTTCTTTCCTAAGTATTGAGATAAAGGAAAACTTTAAGTGAGGTGTTGTCAACAGTGTTTTCATAAAAGCCCCTAAAAAGGTCATAGCAAGAAATGTACAGTAACCTCTTTGGAGAGTTAATGTTTTGATCTCTGGATTCCTTATAGCCATCCAGGCTACTTTGGTAAAGTAGGCATGCGATATTTTCACAAGACAATGAACAAGTACCATAGACCAAGTGTTAACCTGGACAAGCTGTGGTCCCTTGTCAGTGAGCAGACTAGGCAGTACTACAAGGACAAGACAGATGGCCCAGCACCAGTTATCGACGTCGTTAGAGCTGTAAGTGTGTCAAAGAAATGTTGAATTATCTAAGCTAGTTGTATTGAAGGGAAAACCCCACGTACTGTTCAAACTTTAAGGCAGGATGTTGAGTAAATTCGCCAGCTAAGAGCAAGATTTTATGGACAAATTTTCAGTGTGTTAACCCAATTATTGCTAAACATGTTGACTTTATCTGCCTGTCTATGTGAACTTGCTCATAAAGGTAAAGTGACCTCAGGAAAAGTGATATATGTTTTTTTTTTCACTATGGATACATTAAAAATAAAATGAAGAGCTACAATTTGGGTCCTTTGGTGGAAAAACTTTGCTTGTTTTGAGATCCCTAGTCCATACTAAAAAACTGCTTGTCCTGGATAGTTAGACTTGTTGCACCTTGAAAACACTTGATGGTAAGTCCACATGGATGTACTTGTACTCTGGATTGAGCAGTCCCTGTTCAAGTGCTAGTGGGCCTCACATACATTGTGCATCCCTCCGCCCAGTAGCATATATAATTTAGTAGCAGCAAAATGTTAGGGTGATCTGACAAATGGTGTGGTAGTAGCACCTGTAATGGACTACATGTAGTTTCTATGAAAGTCAGATCAAGCTCTGGCACTCCGTGAACCACAGACTTCCTGTGTTGGACCTTCCCTGAGGTCGTGATTCTTGGCGCTGACCAAAAGGAGTGCGGCCTCTGGGGACGAGAACGCACTCCTACATGTATGCATGAGTGTTAGATTTTGCATCTTCAACCTTCTGTAGGAAGCTAAACTCACATTGACAGTGGCAGGGTGATAGTTTATCTGTGTACATAACAAAAAAATGGTAATTGTTCTTACTTTCAGGGTTACTACAAGGTGCTTGGTAAAGGTCTTCTCCCTAAACAACCTGTGATTGTGAAGGCTAAGTTTTTTAGTCGTAGAGCAGAGGAAAAAATCAAGGAAGTTGGAGGGGCATGTGTCCTGGTGGCGTAAACAATGTTGCAACTGTACAAAATAATAAAAGTTGAAAGAAAAATGCCTGGTTTTAGTTCCTTTTCGGTTTTGTTTTTTGTTTTTTGTAACCCACACTGATACCACCTCCTTAATTCTTCATCTGGACTGTTTAGTGATAAATACTAATGCTCTGAATAATACATATAAGTTGTTGACTAACCATGAGTCATGGCTGGATATTTCCCAAGTTGTTTTTCTATATATAAAACAGAAAAGAATGAGGCCAAAAGCCACCCATCTAGACCAGAAGGGCTTGACTGAATTTTAGGCAATCCTAGAATTAACTGAAATTATCACAATAACAGAACAAAACAGTAGCACTCGAAAGAAACACAGTCAAGCCATAAGGGGCATGGATGGAGAAAATTGGAGGTTATTTAACCGATCACAGCAGGGTTAACTGAGAAACAGCCCAATGTTTTTCAGGTCAATGTCACTTCATGGAGAAGTGCTATTTTATAATCTCTCTGATATGAGATAAAAGACTTCCTCTGCTAAGTTGAAACCCAGAGTTACCTAAATTACTGTGACCTTGCCCTTCTAAGGATTTATGGCCTAAAGAATATCATTTTCTTGCAGAATACAGTGGGCATTCTTGATCTGCAAAATATCCCCACATGGGTAGCCAATTGCAGAGCAGAATTAAGTTTATCTTGCAGAGTTCGCCATGTAATTTGTGGCTAGTGTGCTGTTGCAATGAGGTCCAGGGGTTTTTTTCTTTCACCAATCAGGTTGATCCCTTTTGAGTTGTGATTGGTCAGACTTATTGTATGGACACTGCGTAACACAGTCACTTAAGCTCGGCCCTTGTGGTATCCATGTTAGAGAGCTAGGTTTGGCTGTCCAATTTTTTTTTTTTTTTTCATGGGACTGTGCATGCTCTAGGCTTGGCTGCCCAGCATGGAAATGTCAATGAGCATTGCAGGAGCACATTCTTAGCCCAGAATTCGGGTCCTTTTGTGACTGGGAAAGCAGTGACTTGCACCCTTGCCCATAGACTGTGAACAGTCACTGTTTTGCTCGAAAATCTGAGGGGAAGAGCACAAACCAACAGAGGCAAACAGCAAAGCTTGGCTGCTGACTGTTCATTTGTGTTCCCTGCAGATGTTCGAGCGAAGAGAGACCACTCCCAGCCTAGCTCTGCCACTGCTGCAATTCCTGACTTGCCATTAGCTCACAACTCACTGTTGCTGAAACCCATGCGGGGTAAACCCAAATGAGAGGTTAGCACATACTAGCTGTGCTTCTATTCTGTAAAGATAACATGTACACTTTCTATCACAGTCTTTGGTACATATACCACTTTCTTTATTGAATGACTTCAGTTTACATCACGTGAGTATTGACAAAAATAATTTAATGATACTACTGTTATCACTCAGGAATGTGGTGTAAAATAATTGTGAGGTCCAAAGACACTTTAAAATTAGGGGTCACCAGTATAAATGAATCAAAACTAATCTTTGATTGAAAAGTGAGCAAAAACTCTTGTAACATTACTGTTCAGAAGAACAACTTCAGGTGAACTACTGTACATCTTGGCAAGCAGAGCAGATGTTTTGGGCAAGGGAAATGAGAGAGATTGCACTTTGATATTGTTTACATTCTAATGTAAATTTCTCAGTTTTCTTATCCTCTACAGGACCTACTGAACCTTGATAACACACAATGTTACTGCCCACTTAGTTGTGCGCTAATAGTATACGTAATCTACATGTATTAAATCAGTTTCTATTTGCAACTTAATAGAAAATACTGTGATTGTTTCTCCATGAAGGCTGGTTTTTAAATGATAACTTGAGAATGCAAGAAAATTCAACAAAATTAGACAAAACTTGTATTGAATGCTACTCTACAAGTTCAAGCACTCACTTTCAGGAGAGCAAAATACTTTAAGGGACACAAGTTGAATAACCACAGTTAGGCATGTCTAGTTGTAGTTGGCAGTCATCATGTAAAACAGCCTTGAACACTTGCTGTTTTCAATCTAAACAGAGTATTATGTGGTCATTTATCCAACATGAAATCTACTTTAACTAGCCATAAGGCAAACCTACAGCTAAATACATGAAACAATATCAACTCTAATAAATAATTTATTACTGACTGGAGAACATCCTGACTTTAGATGACTAGTTCATATACTTTTTACTCTCCTTATGCGAGTTAATTATTTTGATGATAAAGGTCAAAGTGATACACCTCAATCTGAAAATCAGTCACAAATCCTAAGAGTTTCAAGGTTACTAAAAATTTCCTTAAGTACGATAGGAAAATGTGAACTCCCACATAAAACTAAATATTTACTAAAGCTATGCTTGTGTGGATTAAAGTACAGAATAGACAACTATTTCAAAATAATGTCATTTCACAGAAAAATCACATCACTACAGCATGATAAAAACTCATGTTTTATTGTATTGTTCCACAAAATACCCATACCCTCCCATCCCTCAATATAAATTTTTTGGCTTGTGAGACCACACCCCCTCAAATTTTCAACCATCTTCTATATAATTTATGGGGATATATGGATATTTTCTGGAACCATGCCTTACACCCATCATTAGTCTTAGCTCACTTCATCAAGATAAAATTCCTGTCGAGAGAAAAATGTTTATGTTGTTGCGAACGTCTGAAGCTCCTTCACCAGTGAATTTGTTTTGTGATGTAAACATTTTCAGTGGTGGATGTGGGAGACTTTGCACAATTCCCTCAATCGTAAAGCCCTAAGGCCTGAAAATTCTCTCCCATCCCCCAGGGCCCATCTTTAAATGTTTGTAGGGTGTGATATTTGTTTTGCTAAAGAAAGAAACAGTAAATTAATATTGTACTCTAAAATCAATGTGTATTGATATAATTGTTATAAAAATATCTCCATGCTTAATTGCTATTCAACAAACCAAAGACAGAGATTAGTCTATTATGCTGCATCGGCTAGGATACATGAAACACTATTTGATTAACACTAGTTGATTATCAACTTGGAATGGGTAAAGGTAGTCTAAAATTATGTCTTAGTAAATCTGAGAGACTGATGTTTCAAATACTAGCTCTTGGGAGGGAGGGAGACCAAGTGATCTTAGGGTCATCTGAGAATCACACTCATTAACCTTTTGCACAAGCAAACAGAATGTCAACTTTTGAAATTTGCCATATGACAGGAGTTAATTCACCTTGTTTTATCAACTTATTAAGGATTGTAAATATTTGACTACAAGCTCGAGTCATAAATACAGATTATCTCTACAAACCAAGAGGGTGATCAAAATGTTTTTGTCAGTGTAACCCAGTTACTGATCTGAGTAATGGTTCCTCCCTTTGTTAGTATGCACATGTTCCAGTTTTCTGTAATGGAGTTGTTTCCTTTCAACTATAAATTTACATCAACATTTGCTAAAAGTATTCCAAGCGTCAGTCACCCAGCGTTATGGTAAATTATTTTGTATGAAATCATGTAAAACCAAGTGTAAAAGAGTTTCTTCATTGCAATGGCCAACCCCATGATAGACATAGCAGGTGGATACTAAAACTGGAGGCCACATCCTACAGAAATTGAACTGATTCATTGATGGTTTATATATTTCTGATCACCACTTTTTAAGGTAGTGATAAATGAAAAATTGCATGCATTATCTTGGTGCTGACTATCAGTCGATACATGACACAAACCTATCGATCACACTGTGAGTAATTTACTGGGTTAGACTAAGAGTGCTTATAACCTCAGATCTCTTTTCTTTGGAAACAGGCATAAACCAAACTATCCACAGCTAGGGGTCTGACCAAAAATTAATATAGGTCTGTGTGTTTTCTTCAGCCATTAGTCCTGAACTTCCAGTCACTAATTACATGTATTTCAGACAGTCTCCCCTTTATGTGTGTCCCCTCAATCAATCATTGTAAGGAAATTACTTAACATCAAAACACTTTTGGAAACTAAATGGTATGTGTTTTCATTTGTGCCTAAACCAAGTTAAAAACTAAAAAAATAATCCAACTGGTGCAAGTTGTGTTTCAATAGGCCTTTCTTCCTTGAGACAATCTTAAATACTCTGCCACTAACACTGCTGTGCACGCAAAATATATTTGGAGTGCTAGCATAATTTATATACATGTACATGTTCTACACGATTATGACGATTACTATTTATAATAATTACTGGCGTGCATGGACAAATAATTATGGTGCTAAGCACCATACCATTGCCAATTGGGAAAGTCTTTGATTAAATTTTGACATCTTTTTGACAACTCTTTGTGGCTTCTATTTGAACTGGTCCATAAAAACATGGGAACTGTCATGGGTGGAGACAGGCTTTTAGCCAGATGGGCATCCAGGCATCCCGTAGATGGCCACTCATTAAAGAAAATTGTTTTATTTTTCATATGCTGCCTTATAAATTGTTCATTTGAGCAGGCCCTATAGCACATTTTGGACCCCCACTTTTCAAATCTGGCTAAAAGCCTGGGTGGAGATATTAAGTTGTCAAATTAACCATTCATTCTTGTAGGAATTTCAAAAGTCTCAGCCTACACAAGTTTGAAACTGGCGGCAGGTTGTGGACGTTTGCTTGGCCACTTGAAACGGAAACCATCAGAAGTTGTTATAAAGATGTAAAAAGGTTGTCAAAAACTAATCAAACGTTCCTAGGTGGCAACAGTAATGTGCATAGCACTGTAATATCCTCTCGGCAGTTGCGCAAATGCTTTCATGATAATATTGTACAATAGGATAAGTCACAGCACTGCTGAAAGACCTAAACTACAGCAAAGTCTTATTACACTAGTTCAATGTTTCTCACCGGGTCAAAGGAATAAAGATTGCGGTAAGAATAGATTAAAAACAGCAGAAGTGACTGCTTCATTTTTTCATGTGCTGATTGAAGAATTGCTGAGTTTGAATGTTCAATTCTTACAATCAAAGGAAACAAAATAATGATTAAGTTAGTGATTCAGTAAATACATCCTTGCTTCATCTTTCTTCCTCTTTGGTTTTGGTTCTCCAGTTGGCTCAACAAAATCAGGTGCATACGTTTTCAGTATAGTGTCAAAATACATTTCTAAGTTGTGACCCATTTTTCCAACTTCAGAGGTCGCCTATGAAATAAAATGAGAGGCATAGTAAATAGTTTGAACCCAGGAACTTGTGTCATTAGTTAGTCATATATGATCTTTGTGGTGAGAGAAGTTCTGAAAAGAACTGTTGTTAGCACATGATATTTAAGCAACCTGAACCAAAGTCATTTTTGGATTCAAGTGAACAGCATGTTTGCCCAATGATGGTGTTACAAGTCTGGTCTGCGACTGACAAACACTTTACACTTGACCCTAAAGATGATTTCTGCTGAAGTTGTGGAAATGTCAGTCACACCACTGAGAAAGAACACACCAAACAATACACAAACAATGAGATAACTCTAGTCACTGCTATTCAGGAAATAACCAGATTATAATTCCAAACAAAAGATCACATCAAAGTTGATCATCAACACTGGAGGTTGACTCTTGTTCTGTGGTACAAAGTGGCTCAGAGAATTGGTAAAACTGCTGGACTGGTCCATCACTGGCAACACCCAGCATTTTATTATGTAGCGACAATATGCTGGCACCCAAGAAGAAAAAGAGGAGAGGTGTTTACAGGACTAACATTGCTAAAAGTATGTCACTAAGCACTCAATGACTGGTCCCAAGACCTTAAACAGTGAATTTTGTTTCCCTGACCCCCTCAATGTTCCCCAAGGCAAAGCCGAGGGGAAAAGAAAATCACTGTTTCCCTTGGCACCAGTCATTAAGTGTTTTCTTATACATGTACCTCCCAATTCAAAAATAGCACAAACTGCGAAAAAATCATCTGCTTGATGTTGGCTGACACAAATTTGCTGTGGTTTTAAGGTGCAAGACCTGACCACATGCATGTCGAAAGTTCAAGCTGTTGTTTCCCTGGGGAGTTATTGAGTTTTGACCCATGACGTGAAACATTCTCCTCCAATCAGAAAACGTATTTGAGTTGGGAGGCATAGCAACTATGGTTAAAGACCATTGAAGAAAGTGTAATGGTGATTGAAAACAGCTGTGATGTGCAAAAAATGCACCATAAACAAAAAGAGACAAGGTCCTCAAAGGGATTGAGGGTAATATTCATTAATTCTGACCTCTGCAGGAAGAATACACACTCTCACTGATAATTAAAATCAAATAAAAGACAAGCATAACTTAAAATAATCAAATTTTGTACTACTGTAGCAACAAGTACTTACTTCATTAAATATCGCACAGTTATCAAAGATGAGACGGCAGTCACTAACAAACTCATTAAAGGTTTGATAGTGTGCAAAGTTCTGTGTTTGAAGCTTGGCACGAACATTTGACAAATCCATGGGATGTGTGATGACTTTGTAATAATTAGGAACCTATAAGAAATTAGATGAAGAGAGTGTTGTTTTAAATTTACTGAAACTACACATTGGACATTGTTTGTGATCCACCTTTATGGGGTGTCTATTTTGGCAGTTTTCTAATGACTTTCATATAACCATCTAGACAATCAGAACTACACATACAGCACAATGAACCATACAAAAATATGTTACATGTAAGTGTACCCAGGGGTTTCTTTCATGGCTGGGTGCCATGCAAATTGACCTGCTGTAAGGATAATTTTGCCCACCTGGTTTGAACATCTAGAGAAAAGATTGCCTTATAGAGAAGCTCAGTTCAAAATGTTTTGCCCACCTGTGGAAGCCAGGTGCCCTCTGAGTACCAGCACAGGGAATTACATACAAGCCATTATTACTGCAATTTTGATTTTGATTTTGTTCCAGAATTGTTTGAAAAACAGCCTGTCTGTTAAGTGATTTTGTGAGTATATAACATGATTTGGCAATACACCTCAGCACGAAAACAGAAATACAAACCAAACCTATATATTGTCTGCAAGATTTCAAACTGAAAAATAATCTTACATGTAGGGCTGTCAATAAGGGCTGTAACCCATAACACCTGCCACGACTGAGTATGTTTGATGGACCCTTGATGTTACAGGTGAACTCGACTATAGTTGATACAATTCACTCAATAAGTAACAAGTTTGTTACAGGTGTGAAAATCAAGGCTACCGTTGACTTGAAACTCAATGACAGCCCTGACAGGCAACTAGGATTGCTGCATTATGAAAAAGTTCTCTTGCCAAATACCGTAAAAACTCGTGTATAAGCCGCACTCGTATATAAGCCGCACCCCCAACTTTCGAGCTTGATTTTGAAAAAAAGAAAACTCTTTAAAAAGCG